CCCTGGATGAAATCCCTGATGATGAGGATCTGGACCTGATTCCCCCGAAAGCCCTGAGCTCCTCCTCCGTCTGCTGCTGCTGCTGCTGTGTGCAGTGATCCGGCCCAGAGCTGCTGATGCACCCGCTTGAGTTCTTACAGTGTTTTTAGGAGCACAGACTCGTTTTCTTTGTCATGGTTTAAGCCTCAGTCTCGTTACTAGAAATACACAGCGGAGCCAAAATCCCAAACACTTCCAGTTTTGAGCTGCTTGTGAATCAGAGCCATGATTTACTCACATCTCTGCTGCTGTCTGCATCTCATGAAAACACTGGAGAGCCGGCATATATCACCTCAGAATCAAAATAAATCAAATAGTAGCTATATTTGAAAGTGTGGCAGATTTTAGTACCATTGCACCAGTTTTTTGCACTGCAACTTTTTTTTTGTTTGTTTCTTAGGTTTATTTACCGCTTAAATTCTCATTAATAAATGGAAGCTTGTTACATAAAACATAAAATGATAACAGCAACTTCTTAATCTCACAATTCGGACATTTCTTCTTGCGGTTCTGAAATTATTTCTCACAATTTGGACTTGTGAGATCAATGTCACAATTATTTTTATTTTATTTATTTATTTTTTTTTTTCAAAATTCAATTCAGAAACGGCTTCCATAGTAATGCCAAAGATCTCATTCTCATTGCTGTAATGTTTGGAGATAATGATATTTAAATTGTCAATTATTTATACGTCATGGAAGTATTTGTTGTGCTGCCTTTGAACTAACTGAAAAAACATTTTACTAAAGCATATTACTTCATTTGCTTTAGTGGCAACATTAATATTTCATTAGTATTTTGGGGTGAAATATGATTTGGAAGTGTTTCGTGAGATTGCCGCATGTGTGTAATCGGTGGTCATCGCTCACGGACGTGTCACGTGTGTTTTATAATCATTATTTCACTCGAGACAGCGGCTGATGATTTCAAAACTCTCAGAAAAGGAAGTGAAGATGAAAGTGGGATCTGAAATTAACTTTTTTTTTTAAATTTCTCTCTGTAAGCTTTTGGATGCACTAAATCTTTATTAGATCTCTCTGTTACTGTCAAACAATAACACATTTTGTTACTGAAATGAAGTGAGACTGATGTGAGTTGTTACTTTAGTTAAACGCCTGCGGTGAGATATGACGGTGTTGTTTTGTATTTAAAATTGTGTAATCAAGAATATTTTTATCTGCCCTTAAATATGCATTTGCTTGAGTATTATAAATATGTTGTTTTATGTTGGTGTGTGTGTGTGTGTGTGTGTGTGTGTGTGTGTTTAGTCGGGCCTCAGACTGGACAATCTTCAACACTATGCAAATAACACTTTAATTCTTTCTTTGCGACAACCTTATTGACTTATGTTGTTGCAAGAACAATATTTGTATTTAATGTTTTGTGAAATTAAAGGAAACACTTCAACTTTCTCTGGTTTTCTCATTAATGAGTGTTTATATTCAAGTCGTTACTAGATGCATCATAGTAGAGATGCCAACAAATGACCACCAATCTTCTTTTAATAGTATTTATAGTATTAAACTAGAGCACAGTTGGAGAAAAGCATGGAGAGTGTGGGACGCAGGGATGTTGACAAGGATGCAAGCGATGTGGTTTCTAGACAGCTGATGGATGCATATAATATTACAAATATAACAATAAATGTAAATATAGGACAAGTAGATGTAGATAGTACTGCGCATGAGCACTAGAGGTCGCTGCCGCGTCGCTTACTGTCTCCACTGTCTGAGTTTAATTCTTGCATTTGCAGTCATGTTTTTAATCCAGTATATCATGCAACATGAAGCTCAAACTGAAGTCTTGCAGGTTAGGGTTAGAGTTATTAAATAAAACGGTAAAATAATGAAATTCCTTCATTAATGTCTCATTTCTGACATACTTTACACAATACTCAAACTAAAAACATTTAGTGAGCTGCCCACTTCAAAAGAAAAGGCTAGAAAAATGCTTTTATTAGACAGCTTGCTATGTTTTTTATGTTTAAGACACAGCCATCATATATTGAAGCAATGAATAGAGAATGAAGTGTTTTAATAATGTTTGTTTGACACAAGAAATATAGTGACATTAGAACTGATCGGGTCATTTGATAAATATTCTTTAAAATTGTTTTCATCATTAGAATATTTATTTATTTATTTATTTGACTACCAAACGTACTCTAGGAGCATTTCAGTAGACTACTACTTCATGACTTATATAGGATTTATAGTCATTTTCTAAATATTCTTTTCATATTTTTTGTCATCATTAGAATATTCATTTTATTTTAATGAATGTATTTAATGAATGTATATTTTATGAATACCAAACATACTATAGGAACATTTCACTAGACTGCTTCATGACAGAAGAATTGATCCGGTCATTTTATACTTTTTTATTTGACTATTATTATTTTTTTATTTTATTATTACTATTATTATTATTATACTATTGAACATTTGTTAGAATGTTTATTCATTTTATTGTATCGTAGCAATTTAAAGTAATTTTGTGAATACCAAACGTACTGACAGAATTATTTTGACATTAGGTCATTTTCTTAATATTTCTTTAAATTTACTGTTTCTTTAAATGATTACTGTTGTCATCATTAGAATATAAATTAATTTATTAATTTATTTATTTATATTTTGTTTGAGTAATTTAATGTAATTTTCTGGATACCAAACGCACTGACAGAATTA